AAAAAAAAAAAAAAAAAAAAACTAAACAAAAACAACAAAAAGTATAATACAACAGTATACAGAGAACTCATAAAATGAGAACCAGAGCCAAAAGAAAAAAGAGAAGCAAAGGTAATGTAATTAGCTCCAAAATATTCCCAATATTATCAGCCTACATTATTTTACACAAACATATTTTTCCTACTTTTTTTTTTTTTTAAAGGAGAAAGGGCAGGGGAACTAAAGGGGGTTTCATTCTTGCCCAGGCTGGAGTGCACTGGCTATGAACAGATGCAATCATAGCACACACTACTGCCCTGAACCTCTGGGCTCAAGCAGTCTCCCAAGTAGCTAGGTCTACAAGCATACCAAAGATCACACCTGGCGATTTTTAAGTCAGACCATTAAGAGAAGCCATTTCTTCCTTTCAAACTATCCTCCCAGAAGTTGAGGAAACCGTTCCCTAAGAGAAGTCTTAAGAAATACCTCTTGTTTTAAGCCATCCAAAAAGGAAATACAGTAAGCATGTTTCATTTTGAAAGAAAAATGGAAAGCTGCCTACAAAATCAATTTGTATCAAGAAGACATTTTCCCAGTAATTAAGTTTACTTCCTGAACTTTGAAAGATTAAGCTTTCCTTCCCACTAGATGACAGAGGAAGTGAGTGAATGCTCATGCTGGAGAATGGGTGAGCCATTCCTGGGTACCCCAACCCTCTCAGGGCTCCAAGGCCAGGCATGGAAAGTACAACTGCAGTCCAGGGAGGCCTGCAGTAGCCAAGGCCTTCTTCAGACTTTCTCCACATCAAATCAATTTTGGAATTTCCTTAGTTTGAGAATTTCAAACAAAGAGCCTTGAATTTCCAAGAGACAAGCACTCTTCATCTCTTAGTTTTTGAGGACTCAAATATGAAAAAAATAAGCTCGTTGAAAATGGAAATAACCTTCAAATTTCTTGGAAAATTTAGATTAAATGACACAACCAAAAGCATTCAAGGGAAAATTATCCCTGTGAAGAGTGTTGCAGGTTACACATAATTACAAAGATCTCACGCATTACTTTAAAAATATATGGTCATCAAGACTGTATTTCCTTTCCACGGAAATAAACTATATACAGACGTTATTACATTAAGTTGGCTGAATCACTAAATCAAAGTACAGGTCAAATAAAACAGTAGAAAAAGCAAAAGCTCAAAACAGCTATCAATAAATAAACTTTACAACAGCAAACTTTCATTTACCATGAAAGAGAAGCAACTGAGGAGCTGAACTTGCTTCACGTGCGTCTTTTGCCTTGACTGTAAGCCTCGTGTTTCCAGTGGAGCTAAAGAGCAGCATGGCACTAGAGGAGTGCGTTTTCATAGAGAAGTACAGCCTCTAATACCCCCCTCTGGGGTAACTTCATGACTTTCAGTGGCTCAATTTCCTCAACAACTGAGACAGCTGTTTTAGAAAATAAGCCGCCTCATCTAGAGGCCTCAAGTTATACAACTGCAGAGAGAGGAGGTGCCAAGTTCAGGGAGCCCAGCAGAGACCAAATTAGAGCCAGGCGCTGGGGAACTCCGAGTGTAAATACGCTTTCCACCACTCGCTTCCACACTCCAATAAACGTCTACCTTTCTGAGAGTTCTTTAGGGCTCATAACTTCTCTTCAAGATTTAAAGACCCAATTATTTCAAGGAGCAGCCCCCACCATTCCAGGCCAGCTTTGACCCAGAAGTCCTCCTCGAGAGCTGCAGTAAGACGTATGAATGCTACTGGGAGACTGTAGAGCACTTTGAAGACATCGGGCATTTTCTAAAGAACAGAAAGCTACACTTAATCCACGTTAATGAAAAGCTGCCAAACCACCGATCTTTAGGCTTTATTATAATCAAGTCAGCGCTCTGGTAAACTATATTTCAATAAAGCCACTAAAACAAATACAGAACTTCCAAATTCCTAACAGTTAAAAAGGATAAAGGGCAGAGACTAAGCTCAGATCTGTTTCAACCTCTCAATATTAAAATGAATGGTTGCTGGCACAGACAGGAAAGACTAAACAGTTGCTTGTGGTGCAATCACTGCATCTTCAAACCCTCAAGAGCAAACAGCCTGAGCTCAGGCAGTCTCCAAAATGAGAAACTTCATTTTGAGACAATCAAAAAAAAAAACAAAACGAAGTCACTGTGCTACTCCCACCGCTGCTATTCTTTCAATTACGATAATTTACTAACATCAAGTGATTAAAATCTGCAGCCAGAAGAGACTACAATGTAGGACAACAGAGTAGGAACTGATGCCAAAACGCTGGACATTATTTTCCCAATGTAAGTGCTGCCTTTTCTGCACAGTGTATTCTAGCTCTAATGGGGCTTGTTAATCGCTTGTAAGGAAAGGAAACCCCTTCCCCCACCAACCCAAGCCATCCTAACAGCTGGGCGTGTTTTACAGCAAATATTACGCCCCCAGGAGCGGTCCGCGGCCGAAGCTTGGAGGGCCACCTTCCCTGCCCGCCCGTCACCAGGGTGAGCAGAGGCCTTTGGGGTTCCATGGCCCCCGACCGCCACGCGGCAGAAGTCCGACCCCGCAGCCCCAGAGGCCCGCGGACCTCTGGGAGCAGCCGCATCTGACAGAGATTCAGGGCTGCGCAGGCCTTCCCCAAGGAGACAGACGCTTCTCCCCGCCCGAGGCGCCCAGTACCTCATGCTGTAGGCGCCGGCGCCCAACTCCTGCCCGATGCCCGAGAGGCTGGCGTCGAAGTCGTGCACCAGCCCGGACTCGATCACCTCGTCCATCTTGAGCACCCAGGCCATCTTCCGGCCTCGCCGTCGCCCCGCACAGCGCGGCCTCCGCGTCCGGGGCGAAGGGGCCGGAGCCCCGCTGGCGCGTCCTGAGGGAGGGCGCGGGTGAAGCCTCCGGGGGAGGGGGGGGCGGCGAGTGGTCACCAGCGGCGGCCGGGACCGGAGCTGCGGGGGTCCCACTGGCAGGGCACGGCGAGCCCAGTGAGCAACTGCAGCGGGAGCGGCCGGGCCGCCGGCAGCGCCTCCCTCCCGCGGACACCGGTCCCGCGCCACATGCCGCCGCCGCCGCCCAGTCCCCGCGCCGCTAGCGCTGCAGCCGCTGCCGCCCGCCCCACCCCGGACCCCCCGGTCGCATCCTCCTCCGGGACTGTGCGGAGACCGGACCTCGGGGCGCTCCGAGGACCAAACGGGAGCAAGCCCTCCGCCCGCCCGTCACCCGCTCCCCAGCCTTGACTCCCCGCCCCTGGCCCGCCCAGGCTCTAGCGCCACGCCGCTACGGCCAACCCCGCCGACGCCGCTCCGCCGGCCCGGACACTAGGTTCCAGGCGGCTCCGACTTAGGCTCGCGCGCCGCTTCCGCCTCCCCCGGCCCCGCCCCGGCTCCGCCCCCGCCCCCGCGTTCGCCTCACGCCCCGGCCCTCCCCACACAGCCCCGCGCTTAGGGCCACTCCCCGCGCCTCGCGGCCCAGGAACTGCCTGGACAGTGCAATCCGGCCCCGCCCACGCGGCAGTTCCCAGCCGGGGCGGCCTCGCTGCCTCCCAGCACAGCAGCCCAGGAAGAGGAGGTGCCAAAAGCGCTGCCAGTTCCCGCCCCTTCCAGCGAGCGAGATGATTGACAGGCCAACTGAGCAATACCTGCAAGCGCTTGGAAGAAGCTCCCGTGAGTCTCTGTGTCGCCCGACTAAGCAACCAATCAAAGTGTTCTTCCCCTTGGGCGGGCTCGAAGACGGAATTTGCTGCCAAAAGAAAGAGTTCATTGGACTGCACTGTAGGAAGCGGCTCCAAACGCCACTTCCGGAGGTGATTTGCTCCTCTGTGGTATTTCCCGGTAGTCTCGGTTTTTTGCCCTCTCTACCGAGGGAGAGAGCGGTTCGCACACATGTGGTGTGGGAAAAGCCAGTTTTGCAGAAAAGCTCGATTGGCGTGAGACTAAGCCGATCCACGCTCCCGAGAAAGCTCTGGAAAGGCTTCCCCCATCGGTTATATTGCCGAGAGCAGTTGGGCTATCCTGAATTAAACTAGCTGTTGGTCATTGTAACCGCAGGCAACCTCCTGACCTTGGGCTCCGAACCATTAGGACGCGCCACAGTAACAGCTATGCTGCTCGGAAGGCCGGAAGGGTCTTAGCGACCTATGGGCAGGCGCCATTGGGACCAAAAGACAAATCCTTTTACCGAAAGAGATGAACTAGAAGGCAGGGGGCAGAAGCTGACGTACAGCCAGTGTGCGGATCACAGTTCCTTAGGTGCGGCTACTGACGCTTGACGGGCGGAATCCCTGCTGAAGAGAACGTCAAGACCCGGGCTTCGCCCTGCATCGAATTTACGGCCTCAGAATACGACCCACATGCTGAACGCCCCGCCCCAACTCGCCAGTTAAAGTGCAAAAATACTAGATTAAAAAGCCTAATAAAACAATGGCACTGAGCCAGAAGAAAGTCTTAGACGCCTGTGCGATGTAAATATTAACTTGCAGGCTCACGCCTGTAATCCCAGCACTTTGGGAGGCCGAGGCTGGTGAATTAGTTGAGGTCAGGATTCGAGCCTGGCCAACATTGTGAAACTTCGTCTCTGCTAACAATACAGAAATCACCTGGGCGTGGTGGCGCAGCCACGTAATCCCAGCTACTAGAGAGGCTGAGGCGGGAGAATCGCTTGAACCTGGGAGGAGGCAGAGCAAGACTCTGTCTCCAAAAATAATAATAATTACTTGTAGAATGTTTTTCTCTTTGCACAACATTTTCGCTAACATTTCATTTTATACAGCTACCAAAGTAGATACAAAAGAACACTTAGAGATGAGGTAGTTTAGGTGCAAATGTGTAAAGATTACACGGTTCAATGTCACACAGTAAGTAGCTAAACCAGTGCTTTTTTACTCAACATTATATTGGCCAGCAGTTCAGGAAGCTCCATTCCACTATTACAAATAAATCTGCACAACCAGTCAGATTGTTAATGGAAACATTGGCCTCATTGGGATCTCAGATATGTTTTTATTCCATGATCTCACCTCACTTCGGTAACCCAGTTTATAACCAGATTAGCCAGGCCTACTATTTGTTGTTGGAAAATTTGGAGAAATTGAATTGGGGGAAGATAATTCTCTGATTTTTAGAAAGAGTGTGATAGTACAAGCTACCATCAGTTTTTCAGTCAGGCTGTGCCCTACGGAAGTACTGGGTCAAACATTTAGAAATAGAGACTTAGGCTGGGCAGTGTCTCAGGCCTATGATCCCAGCACTTTGGGAGGCCAAGGCGGGAGGATGAATTAAGGCCAGCAGTTGGGAGACAAGCCTGGGCAACATGGCAAGGTCCTGTTTCTACAAGAAAAAAAAAAAAATTAGTTGAGCATGATGTCATGCGTCTGTAGTCCAAGCTACTCAAGAGAGGCTGAGGCAGGAGGATCACTTGAACCCAGGAGTTTGAGGCTGCAGTGAGCTATGATTGTGCCACTGCACCTCAGCCTGGATGACAAGATGAGACCTTGTCCTTAGAAAAACAACAACGAAAAACAACAACAACAACAAAAATTAGAGTTCTGGAGGATAGAAATAAAAGTGTTGGCTGGTCATGGTTGCTTACAACTGTAATCCCAACACTTTGGGAGACCAAGGTGGGAGGATCTCTTGAGTCTAGGAGTTTGAGACCAGAGTGGGCAACATAGCAAGACCCCTCTACAAACAACAAAGAAAGAAAACTCTTAAAAATTACCCAGGTATGGTGGCCTTCACCTGTGGTTCCAGCTACACCAGAGGCTGAGGTGGGAGGATCACGAGCCCAGAACATCAAGGCTTGCAGTGAGCCATGATGGCTCTAGTCTGGGTGACAGATGAAACCCTGTCTGGAAAAAAAATAGAAGTATCAAGCAGCACTAAATAGTAATGTCATAAAGAGACCAAAATATAAAGGAAGGATAGTGTTAAAAGAAAACCTTAAACAAATTAAATATAAGAGTTTAATGAAAAAAAAAAAAATAAGATTTGTGAATCAGTTGGCCACCCTGAACCAGAATACATTCAGAGAGACTCCAACACAAGGCCAGGTGTGGTGGTGCACGCCTGTAAGCCCAGCACTTTGGGAGGCCAAGGCAGGTAGATCACCTGAGGTCAGGAGTTGGAGACCAGCCTGGTCAACATGGCGAAACCCCGTCTCTACTAAAAATACAAAAATTAGCTGGGTGTGGTGGCAGGAGCCTGTAATCCCAGTACTGGGGAGGCTGAGAAAGGAGAATTGCTTGAACCCAGGAGCTGGAGGCTGCAGTGAGCTGAGATCGCATCACTGCACTGCAGCCTGGGCAACAGAGCAAGACTCTGTCTAGAAAAAAAGGAGAGAGAGAGAGAGACTCCAACACTGTTGCATGGTGGAAGAGGATTTATGGACAGAAAAAGGACAGTGATGTACAGAAAACAGAAGTGAGATACAGAAACAGCTTGATTGATTGTTTTATTTGAACAGTTGGCCTCCTGTGATTGGCCAAAATTCAGTGATTACTACAATAGGTTATAGTCCATTTATACATCCAGTTAGGTTACAAGTTACTATGTACAGAGAAACCTTTAGGCTGAACTTATAAGGAGGTAACTTTAGGCTAAACTCAATTTAACAATTTCTCCCCTTTTGGTCAATCCCTCAATTTGACCAAAATAGAGAGGTTGACCAAAATTGTAGACATTGACATTACTTTCTGACCATTGTAAATGTACTTATTGGTCTTAAATGCCACTGGGAAATAGTACAACAGTGGGTTTTGTAAGGTAGGAACAGGACTTTAGGTTACTTTCTGGTAAGAGAGTAGAGGAGACTTTTTTTTATTATGTTGGAATTTTTATTTATTTGAATTTTATGAACATTTTATGGATGATTGTATGTAAACATTTAAAACTTTTTTATTTTTTTTTTATTTTTTTTATTTTTTTTATTTTTTTTTGGGACGGAGTTTCGCTCTTGTTACCCAGGCTGGAGTGCAATGGCGCGATCTCGGCTCACCGCAACCTCCGCCTCCTGGGTTCAGGCAATTCTCCTGCCTCAGCCTCCTGAGTAGCTGGGATTACAGGCACGCACCACCATGCCCAGCTAATTTTTTTTTTGTAGTTTTTTGGTAGAGACGGGGTTTCACCATGTTGACCAGGATGGTCTCGATCTCTTGACCTCGTGATCCACCCGCCTCGGCCTCCCAAAGTGCTGGGATTACAGGCTTGAGCCACCGCGCCCGGCACATTTAAAACTTTTTTAAAAGTATATAGTTCATGTAGGAGACTACTATTAAGACTATCAAGAGGATAATACCAAGACTTAGGAGTGTACTCCTTAGCCAGAGTCACCATGAACTAAATGCTTGGTGCCACAAAGAAGAGCTAGAGCCGAGGCAAAAAGTTTTCTCAACAAGGCAATTTACTTCTGCTGAAGGGTACTGCCTACATCAGTCACCATTGCAAGAGCACCCTGAGCAAAGGAGAGAAGGGGTTTTTATCCCTAATGCAGTTCCTTTCCCTGTGTCTTTCCGCTATTGGCTAGGGTTGGACCATGACCTAAGCTGATCCTGGTTGGCTAAGGCTTAAATTTTTCTAAACATGGTTAGCATACAATTTGTAAGAGAAGGAGAGTGGACTGTCCATTATAGTACAAAGGATGACTGGACATATCTGGGCTTGTTAGGGCGTGACTAGAGCGGGAGGGTGGTTTGCAGGCTGGAAACGAGAGTACAGCAAGGTTGGGCTTTTGAGCCAAGGATAAGAGCATTACACAAAAACCTTTGAAGAGGAATTTATTATTCCCTAACAATCTTCCCCTTGTCTTTTGATAATTCTTCCTCTTCAAATTTTGTAGCATGATTTGGCTTTGTTGCTTGTGATTATTTAAGAATAAGAACTTATCTGAGTATGGAGTAGGGTAGGGGAGGGTTTTGTGAGGGCTGTTTCTCTAAGGCTTGACGTTAACCCCTGGATACAGGGTATGATGCAGCTTCCTGCAAAAATGAGTACACATATGACAATTTCAAGAGAGGTTAATATTGAAGACATAAGCTCCTTCCATTTACCAAATCACCTTTCCATGAGACTCGTGAAGGGGTCATTTATTCTGGAATTCTTGGCTAACTCATTTGATAAGGAGGTAAGGCCTTGTAAGGCCTTTGTAATTGTTCCATCAGGGACTGTGTTGTTAGGGATACAAATACAGCATTGGAATCCAATCATGACACAGACTCCAGCTTTTTCTGCTAACATCATGTCCAGGGCTATTCTATTTTCCCAGGCCATTTGACTAGTGGGGCCTAATTGTTCAGCTATCCTATTAACAGCATCTCTGGTATAACTGACAAATCGCTGTTGTTTATAGTAGATGTACTTTATCCAACCTACATTTTTGTTTATAGTTGACCACCAAAACAGTACAGATTTGAATCCTGTTGCCATTTGATATCAAGCTTTAAATTCATCTGGTACCTCTTGTGGGACCCCCAATAGCATCTATGTAAATATGAGGGCCAAAAGACTCATGAGGATCACTTCTTTTTATCTGAT